TTATCCCGCCTATGGTGAAAATTCAAAAAAATTCCACACAGGTGAAACCTCTCTCACACGTGCGAGCTCGAAAATTTTCATTTTCAATTATAAAACCCGCCTTCAACATGACCTCAAAAAAATTGCCAGATCGTCTCTCTCAGAAAAAGCTATTCTCTCCTTTTTCTCTCTCCCTTCGCTTTACTGTTCGCAAGGCCGTTTTTGGAGAAGAAATCTAATCCAAGATTCATAGGTATAATTTTGTTCCAAGAATGTATGTAAATGCTTACAACTGTTCTTGAGTTCGTTCGTCGTTGTCATTTTACTCGATTTGGTTTTTAGAATTAGGTTTCTTCGTCATGTGACGGTGATTTTTGATAATCCTGGGTTTCTGAAGTTTCGTTTCTCCGAGAAAATCTGATTACATGAAAACCTTGATGCAATTAGGGGATTCGAGTTTTGGGTGTGTTCCAAGTCGTTTACTCTCTTGGATTCTTTTTTTTTTTCTCGCAGCGCGGAATCGAAAATGCCAGAAGCAAGAGACCGAATAGAGAGACCAGTGGATTACTCAGCAGTATTTCTCAATAGACGTTCGAATGGTGTTTTAATTGACGAGCCAACAACACAGCTCAATTTGTTTGGGTCTCCAGTTCAGAGGCTGCCATTGGAATCTACAGGAACTGGGTCTATCGGTCAAGGATCTATGATGGGTAGAGGTATTAGGGGCAATTTCGGTATACGGCGAACCGGTGGTAGAAGAGTTCAAACTCAATTTAGATCACCACAGGGAAGAGAAAACATGAGCTTAGGTGTTACAAGGCGTGGAAGGGGTCGTGCTTCAACTTCTGTGTTGCCTTCTTGGTATCCAAGAACACCCCTCCGTGATATTTCTGCCGTTGTTAGGGTAAGTTGACAAAAAAAACCTGTTTGATTCTGCTTATTCTTAGCTTTGGTTGGAGTTTATATCTGGATTGTGATTGCCTTTCTTGGTTAGGGAAATTTCTCTTATTCTTGGAATTAAGTCACTGAGTACAAGAAGTCATCTTCTCCTGTTTGCAGCTACTGTTTGTTAGTGTTGCTGCTACTTGATTTCCTCAGTATACGATCTTGAACTGTCTTTAAATCACTGAGTTTGTGATTGACATAACAGGCTTGCTTAGCCTCTTTGTTAAGTATGTTGCCAAAGGCTTGCTTAGCCTGGCTATTTATTCTTATCTACAAACTGCTTTATGTAGGCAATTGAGAGAAGGAGAGCTCGTATGGGAGAAGGCGTTGGCCGAGATATCGACACCCCAACTCCACAACAGCTTGGGGTTCTTGATTCTCTAGTACCACAGTCAGGTGCTCAGCTCGAGCACGATTACTCTATGGTTACTCCTGGTCCATCTATTGGATTCAAGCGTCCCTGGCCACCTTCAACTGCCAAAGTCCATCAGATTCTGCTCGATATCACGAGAGAAGATACAGGGGAAGAAGAATCCCTCACTCCACAGAAGAAGCTCCTCAACTCTATAGATAAAGTGGAGAAAGTTGTGATGGAAGAGATTCAGAAAATGAAGAGCACTCCTAGTGCAAAGAGAGCAGAGAGGGAGAAAAGAGTTCGAACGTTAATGTCGATGCGATGATGTCCACTTTTCATACTCAGAAAAGAAAGATGTGACATTAGAGAGGAGAAGCATAGAAATAAAAGGTGTGCCTGCACAGTGAGTACATCATCTTCTGATGATATATCAAAAGAGGGAGAAGTGGATCATCTACTGGTGATATCGTCATGAGCGTGTAGATTTTGTTAAAGACTTTACGGTATCATTCTCTGATGATATTACTAGAAAGGAGGAGGTCAATCATCTCTCTGATGATATACAGTAAGGAGATTCTATCATTTTCTGATGATAAAACATAGTAAGGAGATTCTATCATTTTCTGATGAAATATCCATAGGGGAGATAAACTAGTAGATAGTTTTCGGCTTTAGATAGCTCACGGATTATGTTGTAAAGCTTTGTATTTCCATCCATAAAAGATGTATGAACAGAAGTTTCGAATTCTGGTTTTGTTGGTGGAAATTGCAGATGTTCTTTTTGCTTCAGATTTCTTGTGTATTTCTGTAATGGTCAAAATCTGGGAAATGTCATCTGGTAAGAGCCTATAATGATTCTTATTTTACAATTTCACGCTGAAGTCATTTATGTTGTTACGTCACACATAAATTTAATAAAAAGGTTACATCTGTTGTTTGTTTTCTTTACAATGAGAATCTAATAAACAAGATTCGTCTGTGTCTAGTTATAAATACAAAGCATACTTAAAAATAGATTGTATCAATAAACCTGCAATGGATCTAGAACTAAACACTAACCTCATCCTCATCACATCCTTTGTTTTTGTTTTCGTGCTTAATGCTTTCTTCAAATGGTTCTCGAAGGAGCAGTGTTCGAAGGCTTCTATGAAGCTGCCACAGAGCCCTCTGGCTTTACCATTCATTGGTCACCTTCATTTGATAGGCAAAGTATTGCCTGTGTCATTCCAGAGCATAGCTCGGAAGTATGGTCCACTCATGGAGATCCGTCTTGGTGCTTCTAAGTGTGTTGTGGTCTCCAGCTCTTCGGTGGCGAGAGAGATCTTCAAGGAGCAAGAGCTTAATTTCTCCTCGAGGCCTGAGTTTGGTTCTGCTGAGTACTTCAAGTATAGAGGGTCTAGGTTTGTCCTTGCGCAGTATGGAGATTACTGGAGGTTCATGAAGAAGCTGTGCATGACCAAGCTTCTTGCTGTTCCGCAGCTTGAGAAATTCGCTGACATCCGTGAGGAGGAGAAGCTGAAGCTGGTCGAGTCCGTGGCTAAGTGCTGCAGAGAAGGGAAGCCTTGTGACTTGAGTAGCCAGTTCTTGACTTACACCAACAATGTAATCTGCAGGATGGCAATGAGCACGAGGTGTTCGGGTACTGATAACGAAGCAGAAGAGATTAGGAAGCTGGTCAAGACATGTTTGGAGCTTGCAGGGAAGGTCAGTGTAGGAGATGTGTTGGGGCCTTTGAAAGTACTGGATTTTTCTGGGAATGGGAAGAAATTAGTGGCTGTAATGGAGAAATATGACCTACTTGTAGAGAGGATCATGAAGGAACGTGAGGCAAAGGAGGTAAAGAAAGAAGGTATGAGAAAGGACATTTTGGATATATTGTTGGAGACTTACAGAGATCCCGCTGCTGAAATGAAGCTCACGAGGAATGACATGAAATCTTTCCTGTTGGTATGTTTCCTCTGACCTGCAACAGGAATAAAGATCTCAAACTGTTTATTCTAATATGATAAAACTGCGTGCTGCGTGAAAATTCTTTAGGATGTTTTCATGGCTGGAACAGATACATCAGCAGCAGCAATGCAGTGGGCAATGGGGCAACTAATAAACCATCCACAAGCGTTCAACAAGTTAAGAGAAGAGATCGAAACCGTTGTTGGAAGCAATAGACTAGTCAATGAATCAGACGTTCCTAACCTCCCGTACCTTCGAGCTGTCCTAAGGGAGACTTTGAGGCTCCACCCTTCAGCTCCACTAATCATAAGAGAATGCGCAGAAGATTGCCAGGTGAATGGGTGCCTTGTCAAGTCAAAAACCCGTGTGCTTGTAAATGTCTATGCAATCATGCGAGATCCAGAACTGTGGAAGGATGCAGACAAATTCATACCCGAGAGATTTCTAGAGAGCTCTGAAGAGAAGATAGGTGAACATCAGATGGAGTTCAAGGGTCAGAATTTCCGTTACCTTCCTTTTGGGAGTGGAAGAAGAGGATGTCCAGGAGCATCGCTTGCCATGAATGTGATGCATATAGGTGTGGGTTCATTGGTGCAGCACTACGACTGGAAAAGTACCGATGGGGAGAAGATTGATCTGAGCCAAGGTTCTGGTTTTGCTGCTGAGATGGCTCGACCACTTGTGTGCAACCCTATGGATTGCTTCAATACCATCTGAGTGATTTGTAACACCAGATGTTACCTGTATCTATTAGACTTTCTATGAAGTATTGTGTATAAAGGAACCATGGTTCTGTATCATTTCAAGGTTCTTTTACATAAAACATACACTCCAATATCAATACGGTCCTTAAAATCAATCTGATAAACAATACATCTGAGTATTGTAAGTCTATAACTATACATTCATATAGCAAAGTTCAGTACCTATGCCATTTTGGCATGACATTCTACTTGATTTTCAATAATCAGAGCCTAGTAAATTTTAAAATTAATTAATCTTCTTACGCATCCCCATCCGTGATCTCGCATATCTGTAATTGCAAGTTAAGTCAATTCTCAGGGTAGCACTAAAGTCACACAAGAAAGATACAAAGGAATAACATAGGTATAGTAGTGAAGGATACTGCAGCCTCAAACCCTCCCCAGTGAGGGATGAGTAAAGCACTGTGCCTTGAAGAGTATGTAATGCTTCACTTGAACAACTGACATCCTGCAAAAGCCACATATCAAGGAGTTATATTGCCGAATTAAACATTGTCAAAGTCAATCCACTCTTCAAACAAAATAGGATCTCTCTTGTTCTCTTTCAGAAAAAGATATCGAGAGAGCTTTACCTGGAAATCAACAAATGCAACAGGAGTCCCATATGTGCCCTGAATTTTCAGCTTCAAGAATCCACGGCATCTACACAGGAAAGGGAGAGTGAAAACAAACATCTCTACAGGGTTTACAGTTTTGTGTGCAGGACATTGTAATCTTACCTGGAAAACACTTGAATTAACTCAGATTCAGTACAATTTGGTCCCATATTTGCTATGAAAAGTGTTGGACAAGGTTCTGCAGCATTCTTCTGTCAAAAGAACAAAGACTGTCATGTCCAATGGTAATGGATAGTTTACCTCACTGCTTGTTCTGACAGAACATGATATTCCTATGAAAGTATATAGCATCCAGAAGCTTACAGATTTTCCAGTAGTTGTTGCCCTCCCAGCAATAGCAATACCTTGACTGAACGAGCAAAGAAGAATATAATAAGACACTGAAATTCATTAGCAAATAGCTATTAAAGAGCAAGCTCTCTCATATTTATAGCATGGGAGCCATGACCAGTTAAGCCAAGCTTTAATTAGGTTAAGAAAGTGTGTGAAACAAAGACACATCATCTAAGCATTCCCAAGTAACCAGAAAATGTGCTAAAGTAGTGCAGATGACCTTTGTGCAGGTGAATGAACAATTGTGTTGTAAGCAGAACTACTCATTCCAGGAGTGTGAAAGCTGCCAAAACCTGCTAGTGCCCAAACGTGAAAGAATGTGTAGTGTGAGCTTTCAGAAACAGTAAACTATGTGAACAAACTTACATCCCGAGCGTGAAATCTTAAACCAAACAGCTAACATGGAGGAGCACGAGGAACATGAAGATTGGAATTGATAAATGCTATACAAATATTCATATACCTAAAGCCTAAGAACATATAAGCTCACACGCAGCCCAAAGATGAATGCTTTTGTGCCAGTGATCTTACCAGAGTCAGTAGTGGTGCTCCAAGACTTGGTTTTTTTCAAGCTTTCCCAACCATCATCTACCATATCACAAACTAAATATTAACACAGAAGAAAAGATTCAACTTTTGTTGAACAACCAAAACAGAAAGAATACCAACTTGCCTGTTCTTGAACGCTTAGATTTAGGGTTTGATTTAGCAAGATCGACGTAAAGAGTAGAATGCTTTTCAAGATCAAATACCATTCCCTGAAAGAGAAACAAAGTAAATAAGCAAATTCAGAAACTTTCTTAATCAAGCAAATGAGCAAGTTCGAAGAAATTTTACTTACATTGAGAGTATGCATCACTGCTACAGCTGATTGCAGATCCGAGAACACAGCAAATGCGAAAGGCTACAAAAACAAAACACAGTAAGACTCTCTGTCTCGAATCATCCCTACCCAAAAGCACAAACATTCCGACAAATCGGACAGGATTAACCTTAGCTCCATCGGAGTTACGGAGATGCGAAGTTTCATATCCTGGGAACTCACGAAACAGATTATAGATCTCCCGGAGCTTGACGTCTTCTGGAAGTCCGGCGACGAAAAGCGTCCGAACCTCATCACGACCACCGATTGAAGAAGCGTGTGTAGGCAAGTAGACAGTATTACTTGGACCAATCGGAAGCAATCCCGGAGGCGGAAGAGGAACAATCGAGTAGTAAGCTGATAAATCATCCATTGACGACGACGACGACTTGTCCCGTCGCCGGAGAAAAATCTGGTTAAGTTCGCGTTTGTGTTTAATCGGAAAGATGATAAAATTACAAGTGTTACTTAATGGGCCATTAAAAGCCCATTTAAATCCAACGGTAGAGGAAACGAGGTGTAGGATAATAACATGTGGTTGCACACACTGTAACATAATACTCTTCTTCTTCAATGAATTTTTTTGACAATTTTTCTTTGTTCAAAGATCTGCAACTTCACAACTGTTCTCTCTCTCTGGTTTGAGGCATAATGACGGAAGAACTTATCGACCAATCACCACCACCTGACCCAGAC